TCCCATCTGCTCCCGTCTCAAATGCCCCAAAAGCAGCAGCCCCAGATCCCTCACATCTTCTGGCGTGCAGCTCTCCCTCCTTGCACCTACACCTACACCAGCTTCTCCTTTTGAGATTGTGTACCTAGTTTCGTAAACGTTTTATCAAAATCAAGTTGTACATCGGTCGGGTCTGATACGTAAAAGAAGTCATGCCAAGCTGTTATACCGTACCATATGATGAGCGAGATGTATTTGCCCTGCATCATTGTGAAAGAGGAGCAGTGAAGAGATTAAATTGACTAGGGTGAATCCACATTCGTGTTCGAGTCCAATATAAGCTTTATTCTGCACCCTGGCTGATACACAAACTTTCTTGAACTCATGTTTCTCTGCAGCCAAAACACTCTGCTCACACCCGGCTCATTATACACTCCCTGTAGTTTGAGACCTCAACAAGTCAAATCAGCAGCACTCGCAATATGACCCGCGCCTCACTTTCCAACCTTCACTCCAGGGAGCAAGGTCTTAACATGAGCCTGCAAGCTAGCAATGTTGGACTCAAATGCCTTCAGATGAAGCAGATGCTGCAGGCACTTCACTCCTGCATGGGAAACTGCACCTCCAAATAACTTCAAATCCTCCAGGTTAGTCAGCTGGCCAATGTGCTCCATGGCAGCATCGGAGAACCCGGGTCCTACCGAGAGGAGCTTCAGCCTGGTGAGTGAGCTCAGGTGCTCCAACCCATCGTCCTTCACTCCACTCCCATTCATCCACAACTCCTCAAGGCTTGTCAGCTTACCCACTTGCTCCACGATAGAGAACGTGACATCCTTGCAGCCTTCGAATGAAAGGAGCTGGAGTGAGGACAGCCCTGTGAGGTGCAGCAGGCCAGGATCAGTGACATGGGTGTTGTGTTGTCAAGACAGAGCCACTCGAGAGTGCTCACGGCTGCAATGCCTTCCAGGGCATCGTCTGAAACGGATGTGTTCCTGAGATCCAAGAGCTCCAGCTTTGGCAGCTTGTAGAGGTGCCTGATACCCTTTGCACTGAAGCCCGAGGACTTATCAAAATCGAGGTGTTGCAAGGTTGTCATTTTGGAGACAGCCCAAAGTGCCGCGTCGGACAAGGTGGAAACTTTTCGCAGATTCAGGGTGGTGCGCCTTGCAGGTTCTCCACTGAGAGCTGTCGAAAGGGCCTGGAGGGGAATCAAAGTAAAGGTGGGTACAAGTTATTTTCCAAGATGTTGCATGCAGGTAGGACCAAGAGAACATATTCCAGCTTGAATGTGGCGAACACAAATCACCAATTTCTAGGAGGAAAGTGAACCTTACACACAACATCTGCACACTAGCCCATCACAGCAGTTACAACTTACATCCAACACTTGCGGGCTTCCCCAGTCGCCTCGTACAAGGGAGACCAAAGCTTCCTCCAGGGCGATTTCAACCTTGAGCACACAACTGGCCTTCTCAGCGACCTCCCCCTTTACTGCTGCCAGCTCCCCTTTGGCTGTTGCCAACTCTCCCTTAACTGCTGCCAATTCCTCCTTGACTGCAGCCAAATCCTTCGCTGTCCCTTCCTGCTGCATATCAAGCTCCCTCATTTTCATCTCCATTGCCTCTTTCAATATATCCATTCCCACTAACTGCCTCAAATAAATGTCGCGAGCCTCGTATGCCTCCCGCATCCTGGAACTGTCACAGGGCAGAAGTAGCAGGAAGCATGTGCATTCAAAACAAGTAGCATGCCATACAAAGTAACAAAGATATCAGCGTTTGCGTGTAGGCAGATGAATGCATTAGAGGCAAGATGGACACAGATTTTAGACACAAGAGCTCAGGGGCAGGATTGTACCTTCGTGTCCAAACCAAAAGATATGGAGAAGGAAACACACGTGAACAAGGATTCTTTGAACATAAGTGAGCGAGGCAGGTCCACTTGTGTGTTGTACTGCCTTGCACGGTCCTTGGGGGGAACGGGAGGGAGCAAGGCAAGCGAGGATGAAATTGGCAGTTGGTATAAATGGAATGGTTGGCACGGGGGGAAATGGGGAGTAGAATGCAGGCAGGAGCATATCTTCTGCAGCTTATGGTATACAATAGAATTTCGCTGCTCCGATGCAAGGCAGAAACACACAGACACATGAAGAATAAAGAGAAGGCGGGGCAGCGAGCTAGGATGGGGTGTATGGCATGACTGGTGTCTGTGTGACGGACCAGATGGAAGCAGCATGACCTGTGTGAGCACCTCGAGTGCACCCTTGCTGCCATGCCCGGCTCACTACACTCCCCCTGCGTGCCGCCTTTGCTCTGCTTGCACCCCTCTACGACGCCCTCCAACTCCCACAACTGGCGTCACTCCTACCGTGCAAACCCCACGCCTCGGTTAGGACGGGGGTGAGAGGGTGCGGGGTGTGGGTGGAGGAGGAGAGGCTGAGTGTAAAGCAGGGAGGTGGACGCAAGGAGAGCGAAGGCAGTAGGGGAGAAGGGGGAACAAGGAAGAGAGGGAGATGGGCGGACGGGAGATCATCCCCTTCCCCTCCACCCCCCTGCGAGTGGAGGGACGTAAACTATGTGTTCAACAGATTACCCAAACTTGTATTGAAAAGCTGGTATGAGGACCGAACATTCTGGGGATGATCATCATCTGGTCCAACGGAATGGCTGTGGGTGCTGCTGTGCTGGTTCATAAGCCACGCAGACTCAATTCAGCAGGGTTCTAATCATTGCCGGATTGTGCGGATGGAAGCTGGGGGGGTGTAGGGAGTAGGGAGGAGGAATGGGGGAAGCTGCAGAGACGTGAGAGGAGGAAGGGGAGAGGAGTAGGGCGACAGTGGTGGTCGGAGAGGGAGGGGAGAAGGGGGGTTGGGGCTGGTATTCCTCCTCTTCCCCCTCTCCCCTCCCCACCCCCCTTTTCCACCACTCATTCTATACGCTGGCGGACATTATCGTTAGAATGGACAGAGTCGCACTCGCCCCATGCACTTCACTGCGCTGAGACGCGGTGAGCGCTGCGTCAAGCGGCGGATGTGCGAGGGACAAGGGGTGGAAAACTATGATGCAATGTTTGTGCCGGGCACACACTCTCGCGTGCTGCTGCTAACGCAGCGCAGCGGCACCATCAGTGTGGTAGAAGCATCAGCACACTTGCACAAGAGAATCACGTGCGGGGCACACACGGGGAGGAGAGCATTGTTAAACTTGTAGTAGTGAGGAAAGGTAGGTTTTGATTCAGGCAACTGAAAGTCGCTCGACTCAAAGTTATGACAAATCTACGTGGAGGTTGCTTTCAGCACAAGCGCCTCGTCAAACTTGTTGATAACCCCCCTCCGCCTCTCCGCTCCCCCCTTCCCCCTTCTTTACCCCCACTCCTCTACGCTGGCTGGAATGGAATATGGGCTGGCGAGCCGCGAGGCAACAGTCCCTGCTCGCGCTACTGCTTTGGCTTGGGAATCAAACGTGGCTCCGGAGCACTGTGTTGCGAGCATGGACGCAACACGTGCGCGCTTCTCACCTAGATTTCTCAAAACCGACTGCAGCCTCTCGGGTACGAGAAGGCTCTCTACTAGAAAGGATCTTTAGCGCGATCGATGGTTGCCTGTTGGACAGATGAGCAGAGCCTGGCGAGGCTTGGTGACGCTCGGGTGAAATCGGTGAAGCTTAGAGAGACAGGGAGAGGGGGGGAGAGAGAGGGAGAGACAGTGAGAGGAGAGGGAGAGACAGTGAGAGGAGAGGGGGAAGGAGGGAGAGGGAGAGTGAAAATTGAATGCGGAATCTATTTCGCCCAATAGCGACGCCACGCTCTCGCCCTCACGGTGCTGCGACGGTGACTCATTCTCGTGCACTCACTGCACGATACCCATCATGGCGATGCAGGCCTGCATGGTTGGCAGGAGCGGGGCGGTAATCGTATGTGGGTGGTTGCGCGCAGAGATGGCTCACCCACCGCGCATCACTCTGTACCACCGTCCCGCGCATCCCCGTCCTTAATATGCCCGTCTCTCCCCGTAACGGTGCACACATGCTCCCACCTGCCACTGCTCAAACGTCTCCCCTCCAGGCCAGCTGGCATGCTTGCTGCAGAGGCATTGGGGGAGGGACGAAAGGCAGAGGAGGAGGGATCTGAGTCTCGTGAGAAAGCGAGCCGCAAAATGTTCCTTCCTTTCCCGGCCCGGGGATCGCAGCTTACAACTTTAATGCTGCTGCCAACAAACTCACCTCCCGCCTCACTCCTCTCACCTGCCGGCAAGCTAACATCGCAGCAGATCGGACACGACTAGAGCAGACCAGATCCGAGCAGAGCAGAAAAGGCCATAACGCCGGACCACCATGACACGGCCACACCAAAACACACAGCGGGCTGCAGAATGCAAGCTGGTGGGATGGCGGCGGGTGAAACGGGAAGAGCCGAAGGGAAAGGGGTGGTTTACACTCGGAACAGCTCTCTAACGGGCAGCATTGCGTTGATGGGTGGGGGCAAACTGCCGTTCGCCAATCTCTAGATGATGAATGGCGGCGCGACGTGGTAAAATGGCGGCGCGACGTGGCGAAAGGTGGCGCGACTGAAGGAATATTATGGAGAGCACTACGACGGCGAGAGAGATTCTGCTTATGGGAATGATGTTGCGCTAGGAATTCGGTAGCGTTTCGGTAGAGCTTGTCTCAAATGGTTAAGTAAGAACTTGAGTAGAGATTGTAATATTACTATGAATACAAAAGCAAACACACAAGATAGATATAGGCTACGGGGAAGTTGCACAAAGTTGCCGTGGCGCTGCGCAGTAACCCAACCCCACGAAACTGTCGTGTGGATGGGTGAACCGCGCCTCGTCAACTTCCCAACTCAGCAGGGAAGTCAATGCCGGGCTCGCCAATTCTCCCAGCACACCTAGAAATGGCGAGACCCACAGGAATCACCCACAACTACCAAGACCACCCAAGAAGCACGCCCACGACTCCCTAAGCTAGCACCACCCCAGCAGTGACTTCATTAGCGTCGGCATAGTCCCAGCACGCCCACGACTCCCTAAGCTAGCACCACCCCAGCAGTGACTTGGCATGCATACACACATACACACCAAAACAAAGGGAAACACACACAAACGAAGCACTCTCAAAGTGCAAACACGCACCGCACCAGCCATGGATAGGCCATGGCACCAACCACATCATGGAGTGTCTAGGTCTCACTCCCCTCGCTCGAGAGCCTCACCTGCCCCACAGCCTCGAAGCAACGACTGAAGGCGGGGAAATGCAATGCCTTCGTGAGGTAGTCAGCAGGCTGCTCGCTCGTAGGGATGTACTGAAGCTGCAGCTTCCTGCGCTTGACCATGTGCTGCAGCCACATGTGACGACGCTCCATGTGCTTGAGGCTCCCCTTGAGCCCCATGCCACCTGCCACTGAAATGGCGGAGGAGTTGTCCACAAAGAGAGTAGTGGGAACCTCACTCCTCAGCAGTTGAAACTCTGCCAGCAGGAAGCGCAGCCTACGCGCCTCCTTCCCAGCCTCCACAGCAGCAACGTACTCAGACTCAGTGGAGGAGAGCGTGGCGCAACGAATCCTCTGGCTCGCCCAAGAGACAGCAGCACCCCCGAGCACGAAGATGTAGCCACCAGTGCTGGTCCTGTTCTGCTTGTCTCCTGCATCATCAGCATCGGCGTAGCCCACCAGCTCCAAGGACTCCGGCCCGCCACCAAACTCCAGCGCCACATCCCTGCTCCCCACCAGGCCTACTAGGAGCAGTACGCCAAGCACCGGTCCAACTCCTTCCAGTGCTGGTCACTCCGCACTGTCTGGCCCGACCCCAGCTTGCTGCAGGCGAAGGAGATGTCGGGACGGGTGGTACAGGCCGCGAACTGCAAGGATCCCACCTTCTGCCTGTACTCCTCCTCCTGACGAGACTGCCATCCCACGTCCCCGAAGGTCTGCACACTGAAAGGGTCAGAGGAAAGGGGGGTGCGAGGCACTCGCAGCGGCTGCTCCCCGTCGAAGAAGCGCCTATGGACCTTGTCCACATAGGCCCCCTGGTGCAGCCACAGCCTCCTCGTAGGCCTGTCCCGAATCAGCTGCAACCCCAAGTACTTCTCCACAGGGCTAATCTCCCGCAGCTGAAACGCACTCTGCAGCAGCTCACGCAGCTCCCCCAGCATGCTCTGACTGCGGCTGGCAGCAAGCAGATCATCCACATACACCAGCAGCCAGCACATCTCCCCCTCAGCATCACTCTTGAAGTACAGAGCCTCATCCACCTGGCTCTTCTTCCATCCAGCCCCAAGCAGCACCCCATCCAAGGCCTCATACCACAGCATCGGGCTTTGCTTGAGGCCGTACAGACTCTTCAGCAACTTACAGACACGAGGGGTCCCATCCTCGTAGTAGCTCGGCTGCTCCATGTAAAGGTCACGGTCCAGCACGCCATGGAGGAACGCGTTCTTCACATCCAGCTGCATTAGCTCCAAATCGAGTGCAGCTGCGATCGCCAGAAGGACACGCGCCGTCACATAGCTTCCCACAGGGGCGTACGTCTCCTCATAGTCCACCCCTGCCACCTGCGTGAACCCCTTCACCACCAGCCTTGCCTTCTCACGCTCTACTACCCCATCAGGTCGGAACTTGGTGTTCAGGATCCAGCGGTTCTTCATCACATTCACCCCTGGCGGACGCGGAACCAACTCCCACGTCCCCTGCTCAATCAAGCTCCGCATCTCCTCATCCATCGCCTCCTTCACCTTGTCGCCCTTCCAGCAGCCCAAGGCCTCCTTCACTGTCATCTTCGCTATATCCCACTGCCTCTCAGGGTCAGCCACCACGTCAGGGTCCAGGTCCGTCCACTCCTCGTCCTCCTCCTCGTCATCCAAGCCCACCGGCTCCACCACAATAGCCCAGATAAGCATACTTAAGAGGCGGGATACCACGGGTGATGCGAGTGGAGCGACGCAGTGGCGCAGTGATCGTCCCAGAAGCCACAACACGACCACCATCTCTGATTCCCCACAGCTCCTGCTCCCCTGTCTGTGGCTCCCCTGCCTGCTGTTCCCCTAGCTGCTGGTCCACCATCTGCTGCTCCTCAATCTGCTCCTCCCCTATCTGCTGCTCCCCACTCTGCTGCTCCCCTATCTCCTGCCCCCCACTCTGCTGCACTCCATCCATACTGCTCTCGTCCTGCAGCTGCTCTGCCTCAAGGCGCTGCCCGTCGGTGATCTCCACAGACGGTGGCACCACTATCCCCCCCTCACCAACGGGCGGCGCCGTGGAAGATGAAGAGGAGGGTGGAGCAGGTGCAGGAGGGATGGAGGGTGGAAGGGGAGAGGGAAGAACATGAGGAGGAGGGGAAGCCAAGGGGGGTGAGGATGAAGAAGGTGGGGCAGGGGGAACCACACGAGGGTAAACTGAAGGCGGAGGTGGGGTGGGGACCGAGGTAGGGACATAGGGCATAGCAGGAGGTGCGACCACCTCCTCCTCCTCCACCGCCTCCTCAAGAGTGATCGGGAAGAGGGAGGGAAGGGGCTCATAGGGCATCGGACGCCCCGCATGCTCCTGCTGGTGCCAAGCCTTCCATCCTGCCAGGGACATGGTCTCATAGAAAACAGCTTCCACAGTGGTGATGAGGCGGTTGGACTCCAAGTCCAGCACAGTCCAGCCCTTGCTCGCTGCGGACACCCCCAAGTGCAACCCCCAGCGAGCCTTAGGCGCCAGCTTCCCCCCACGCTGCGACTGAGGCACCATGTACTGCACCATGCAGCCCCATACCCGCACCATACTGACATCGGGTTTGTGTCGAAAGGCGAGCTCGTACGGCGTCACACCAGAGGGCAGCGAGGCGTGCTCCACGCGGTTGCGCACCCAGACGGCCTGCGCCAACGCCAGGTGCCACCAATGATGCTGTACACCCATGTGCAGTAGCATCGTCCGCACCGCCTCCACAATGCTGCGCATCTCCCTCTCGGCCATCCCGTTCTGCTCCGGCGTGTACGGGCACGTGAGGTCATGGATGATGCCTTTGCCGTCGAGGAAGAGCGTGAAGTCATGCCCCAAGAACTCGCCACCCCGATCAGTGCGCAGCGCCTGCACCGTGGTCTTGCACTGCCGCTCTGCCATCGGGAGCCACTTCTGGAACGCCGCCAGCGCATCACTCTTCTGAGCCAAAGGGTAGGCCCAGACGTACCGCGACTTGCGATCCTTCAGCACCAGGAAGTAGCGGCTGCCGTCCTTAGCTGTTTCACGGAAAGGGCCACACAGGTCAGCATGCACCACTCCAAGCAACTCATCCTCCTCCGCACCCACTGACGGGAAGGTATGACGAGTGATCTTCCCCCCAACACACAAGACACACGGTATGCCTGACTTGCCCCCCTTCTCCAGGTCCAAGCCCTTCACTGACCCGTGAGACGCAGTGCGCTCGATGGCATCAATACCAACGTGTGCCATACGCGCATGCCACATGTCCACCTTAGACCGCACGCCCGTCGTCAAGGTACGAAGTGCCACCGTTTCGCCTTCCTGCTGCTGCGACAAACACGGTTGGAAGTTCGTGCAGAGAACACGCCCCTTGAACTCTGCACGCCCAAGAAGCGACCCATCTGGTGCCCGCAGCAGAGTCACGTCGCCTGCATCCAGCAGCTGCACGCCACTATCACGCAGCTGCCCAGCAGAAAGAAGACTCGCCTGCACTCCAGGTACGTACAGCACGTCTGACACCAAGACACGCCTGCCCCCTTCTCCAAGAAGAGCGACTGTGCCTCGCCCCTGCACGTCCTGAAGCGCGCCGTTGAAGCCTTTCACCTGTTTGATACTGCCGCCGCTGCTCATCTCCACAAAGGCAGAACGATCTCCCATGAGATGGTGGGAGCATCCGCTATCAAGTAGCACGACGCTCGGGTTCGCCTTCACAGCAGCTGCAAGAGCCTGTAAGCCCTCCCCGGCCTCAGGCTCCAGCACGACAAGAGGAGTCTGCTCTACAACGGGCTTCACCATCGCACATGATGACTGCCCGCTCCCCTTAGAGCCATCACCCCCCTTGCCACTCGCGCTGCTACCTCCAGAACCCTCTCCACCCGTGTCTGCCTCCTTATCCGCCCGCTGCTGACAGTACTTAGCAACATGCCCCGTCTGTCCACACACATAGCATTTCCCCTTGAAGCCCCCTTTCCCCCCCTTCGGCTGACCATCCTTAGCCCCGATCCACTTCTCCCCTCCGCCACCAACCCCACCCCCATTCTTAGGCTGCTGCTGCTGTGCCGTAGTGGGAGGGGAAGGGGATGAAGTCTGCTGGGATTGGGGCTTACCCTTCTTGGTAAAGACCTGGTTGGCCTGGGGAAGAAATTGGTCCTTCCGTCCCTCCGCTGCCAGCGTACACTCCTCCTCGATAATGTAGCTAGCGAGGGTGTCCTCGTCCAACTCCTTGCGTACCTGCGGCAGCTTCAGCATCCTGCGTAAGAGGTTGTACTGCTGCGGCAACCCCTTCACGACGTGAGTAATGTACGACGCCTGCGAGTAATCTACGCCGGCCATCCTCAGGTTCACTAGGATCTGCTGCGCACGGTTGCAATAGGACGTAGCGGACTCGTGCTCTCCCATCTCGAGGTTAGTGAGCGCCTGCTCTAACTGACCGATGTACAGATCGTCCTTCGCCATGTACGTGCGCATAATAAACTGCCATGCCTGATAGCCGGCATCTACCTTCATGCGACACCCCTTAAGGGCAATCTGTACGGTTGGGGAGCAGCATCGGGAAATCGTGGTGAACGTCAGTAACTGCATTGCGCGGAACTGAGTGAGATGCGCAACTGCCTGCGTTGGTGGAATAGGAGTGGTACCGTCAATGAATCGCTTTAGCTGAGCGATCTCAAGCTGCGGCTCGATCGATTCTACCCACGTCGATAGGTCGTGGCGTCCTTCGAGCGGCTTAGGCACGACGATTCTGTCTGGAGTGAATTTGAAGTAGCCATAGTTGGGGGCTATTCCCTCATCCCTCGACATCGATCCAATCGGGGTAATGCCCGGCATAGCTCCACTATCGTACTCCTCCGCATTCCCTCCTCCAGCAGCGCTCTGTCGTCCTAAGTTCGTACGCTCGTGTGACGCCGCCGCACGATGAACACGCTCCTGTACACCGCCGACGCTAGTCGTACTAAACCGAGTTGGTCCTCGCAGGACCCCACGCGACATCAACCCATCAACCTCCTCGTCATCGTCACCTCCGTCATTGACAGCCATGTCCCACGCACTAGTGCCTCCCGCAGCTTGCTCTACATGTGGCGAGGGATGATCGCGACGCTGACGAGAGCGTAATCCCTCCAACATGAGCTCGTAATCTACATTACTAAGCTCGCCACGGGAACGACGTGCCACGAGCTCCTCCTCTAGTGCGCGAAAATCAACGGCCTCAACGTCCGCCTCCTCCGAACTCATCCTCTACGACGCCTCGATAAGGTGCCACAAATTAAAATAAATTGTTCCTTCCTTAAATCCCTCGTCTCGGGGTCACCTCACAAGGGTCCTCAGACGAGTGGTAATAAATTACCAAACGCCCTATCCTTGGGTGTGAGAACGTAACTGGAGGGAAATTAAGAGAGGTTCAACTTAATTTAATATGCGCCCTTCACTAACGCCGCACGCCAAGGCGAGTTTACGAACGCTAAGAAAATCGACGACGGAATTCTATGCGTGTTCGTTCCACGCTCACCGCACCATGAAGGAATATTATGGAGAGCGCTACGACGGCGAGAGATTCTTCTTGTGGGAATGATGTTGCGCTAGGAATTCGGTAGCGTTTCGGTAGAGTGTCTCAAATGGTTAAGTAAGAACTTGAGTAGAGATTGTAATATTACTATGAATACAAAAGCAAACACACAAGATAGATATAGGCTACGGGGAAGTTGCACAAAGTTGCCGTGGCTGTTATGAGTTTTACTAGACAGAGTGCGCGGAAGACTTTGTCAGAATATTATGCTCTAGCCTGCAGTGGGGTGCTCTATAGCGAGTACAACCCTTCTAGGGTTAGCTATTTGTACCACCATTGTTGCTAGTGCAAACCCTCTTTGCTTCATTCTCTCTTGCCTAGCTAGGTCAACCCTAGCTATGGCTCCTCAGCATACCTACTATCACGACATGGTATCAGAGCAAGAGATACAGTGATCACAACCTAGCAAGAGTAAACATGCAGGTATAGATATATATAGTGATCACAGTACAAGCAAAGTCAAGAGGTAAGTAAGTGAGGTCCAGTAGGCACAAGGCCTAGTAGAGTGCAGAAGCGCTGATGGTCACGAGGCTGAAGCGTCTTGGTGAACACATCAGCAGTGTTGGCCTCAGTGGCCACGTAGCGAATACAAAGCTGACCGCGCTGCTGCAGCTCACGAGCAAGGAAGTACCGCAGGGCGATGTGCTTCGTTCTGTGCTCCAGTCTGTGCTCCTCACACAAGGCAATGGCAGCCTTGTTGTCGACGTACAGTACTGGAGGAGAACGAGGCGGCTCTCCGAGGTCGGTCAGCAGGTAGGTCAGCCAGCGTAGCTCCTGGGCAGCCATGGCTGTAGCGTAGATCTCAGCCTCGCAACTGGAGCCGAGAACAGAAGAAGAGCGTGTAGAGCGCCAAGAAACTGAGCCAGAGCCAAGGCTGAAGGTGTAACCCTGAGACGACCGCTGAGTGGCCTGGTCGTCTGCCCAAGAAGCGTCTGAGTGCCCTGTGAGAACAACTCGGTCTCGCCCTCCAAGCACAAGCCCCATGCCCGACGTACTGCACAAGTAGCGCAACACCCTCTTAGCGGCATCCATGTGCTCCTTCCTGTGACGGCCAGGAGCGACATAGCGTGCAAGGATGCTAAGAGGGTATGCAAGGTCAGGTCGAGTGTAGGTCATCAGGTACATGAGGCAGCCCACAAGCTCTGGATACGGGCCACTCGGCTCTACGGACTCATCCGAAGGCAGAGCTGAGAGCGAGTGACCGGTAGGCAGAGGAGTGGACTGAGGCGAGGAGTACGTGAAGCCGAAGCGCTGGAGAACCTGCTGCACCATGTGTGACTGAGTCAGGGTGATGGTGCGCCGTGCTCTGTCCCGGGTGATCCGCAAGCCAAGATAGCTTGTCAGCTCACCCAGGTCTGTGCACGTGTGTCTCCTCTGCAGCTCCGACTTCATGTAGGCGAGTCCTGCAGTGTCAGCAGTGGCAAAGACCAAGTCGTCGACGTACACGAGGATGTAGAACGGCGGCAGCGAAGTGTCGGTGCGCAGGAACAGCGACGGGTCAGCTGTAGAAGGCGCGAACCCAAGAGCCGCAAGTGTAGTCCTCAGTGTGTCGTGCCACTCACGCGGAGCCTGGCGGAGACCGTAGACCAGCCGCTGAAGCCTCCACTGGGTACCAGGAGGAAACGACCCAGTGAAGCCAGGTGGGCGGCGCAGCCAGATCTCCTCGTGCAGGCTGCCCTGCAAGAAAGCAGTGCTGAAGTCAAGTGAGTGAAGCTCGTAGTCGCGGTGAGCGGCTATGTGCAGCAGCACCCGAAGAGTAGTCATCTTCGGGGTGGGG